AAAAAAAAAAAAAAAAAAAAAAAAAAAAAAATTAATTGGAACTGGCCAGTAAGCACATGAGAAGATGTTCAATATTATTAATCAGTAGGGGAATGCAAACCACAGTGAGATATCACTTCATATCCCTAGGATTGCTATAATGAAAATGGCACACAATAAGAAGTGTTGGTGAGGATGTGGAGAAACTGGAGCCCTCATACGTTGCTGTGCAAATGTGAAATGGGGCAGCACTTTCCAAAACACTTTGAGAGCTCTTCAGAAATTAGAGTTACCACGTGACCCAGACATTTCACCCCTAAGTATGTACCCAAGCAAAATAAAAATATCTTTTCTTGCAAAAACTTACACATAACTGTTCACAATTATTATTTATAATACCCCGAAAGTGGAAACAACCCAAGTGTCCATCAGCAGATGAATGCATCAATAAAGTGTGGTAAGTCATCCAAAGGAATGTTATTTGGCAAGAAAAAGAAATTTTAACGTCACTGACATATGTTGCAACATAGAGGATACTTGGAAATACTATGCTAAGTGAAAAAAGCCAATCGCAAAGGTCATTCATATTCAGAATAGGCAAATTTACAGAAACAGAAGATAGATTTAGCAGTTGCTTAGGCTGGGGGAAGCAAGGATTGACTGTTAATAGATAGTCATTTCTTTGCAGAGGGCAAAAATGTTCTAAAATTAGATTGTGGTAATGGCTGTCAACTGTACATTTTAAATGGATGCTAAGGTTTGAATGTGTTCCTTTCAAATTCAAATGTTACCAATGTGATGATATTAACAGGTAAGATCTTTAAAAGTTGATCAGGGCATGCCAGCTCCTCCCTCATTAATGGGATTAAGGTGTTTATAAACAGAGACTTCATTCACTAACTTATTCTGCTTTTTTGCTATGTGAGGACAGAAGAGTAGCCCTCACCAATCAAACTTTCCATTGCCTTGATCTTGGACTTCTTATGAGAAAGAAATTTCTGTTCTTTATCCCTTATCAAGTCCATGGTATTCTGCTATAGTAGCACAGACTTAAGACAGTAGGTGAATCATGTGAGTTATATTTCAATAAAGCTGTTTTAAAAATAAGACAAAATAATTACATATAAAATGATATTATATTTCTGTAACCTGCTTAGCAATATATAAAAAACATTTACCTATGTCAACATACATAGATCTACCTCTTTCTATTTAGCGATAAGAAGTAGCCACTTATCTGATGATGGCGTTGTAACTCATCATGTAACTATGCCACAATGTATTTAACCAAGTCCTACTGAAGGATATCTAGTGTTTCTAACTTTTCAATACTAAAAACTGTGTTGGAATAATATCTGTGAGTATACATCACTATGAACCTGTGAACCCATCCAATCATTCCATGAGAATAAACTTCTAGATGTGGATATGCTGGGTCTAAGGATAGGCACATTTTATATTAATATGTGTTTCCAGAAGGCTCTCCATAAATACTGCACTAATTTATAATCCCACCTTCTCCTTTCTAGGGTGTCTGTTTCTTCAAGCCACAATTTCATTCCTTGTAAATAGGTCAAAACAAAGCATAAAAATGGCCTCTCTGTGATTTAGTAAACCATTGATGACAAAATGCTGGTCTGTGTTAAATTTCTCACAGTTCCACAGCCAAATAAGAACAAAGTAATAAGTTTTTCACAAAGCTGAATTAATTCAGCTTAAAGAACTGTCATTTATTTTTAGAGTAAGTATATTTTAAACGTTAATGTGCTCAGAAGCAACTTTTATCATGTCTCCCCTGAACTCCCATGTCGTCCCTCTCCGAGTGCTGACCCTCCTTCCTCGCCAGTTTCCCACTTCCCATTTCAATGGATGTTAGCAACGTCTTCTCCATCTAAGACACATATACCAGCGGAAGTCTCCTCAGTGTCTCCAGAAAAGGTAAGAACACAAGCATCTTCCACCCAGTAATGTCTTCCCAGGATTCTCTTAATGCCAATTTTTTTTTCAGACAGAGTCTTGCTGTTACCCAGGCTGGAGTGCAGTGTCTCGATCTCGGCTCACTGCAACCTTCGCCTCCTGCATTCAAGCAATTCTCCTGCCTCAGCCTCCCCCGTAGCTGGGATTACAGGGGCACACCACCATGTCCAGCTAATTTTTGTATTATTAGTAGAGGTGGGGTTTCACCATGTTGGCCAGGCGGATCGTGAACCCCTGACCTCAAATGATCTGCCCTCCTTGGCCTCCCAAAGTGCTAAGATTACAGGAATGAGCCACCGAGCCTGGCCTCTTTTAATGTCTATTGATTTTAATTTTTGGCCCAAGGATACTTTTCTTTCCTGTCGAGTCTTTGAAGGGCCTCAGGACTCTGTCCTCCACTTCCTACGTTTTTTTTTTAGAGACAGGGTCTCCATCTGTTGCCCAGGCTGGGATGCACTGGCTATTCACAGGCACAATCAAAGTGCACTTGCCCTTAAACTGGATTCAAGCAGTTTTCCTGTCTTGGTCTCTCCGGTAGCTAGGACTGCAGGCACATGATGCTATGCCCAAACTCCCGCTCTCTGTAGCAAAGTCCTGCTGTACTGTGATAAAAGTTTGTATCTTGTTGGAGGCAGCAAAAGGTATGAAAGAAGAAAAAAATGCCTGAATTGGTTCTTAATAAATGAGCTTCCAGTGGACAAGGAGAAAAGGACATTCTAGGCAGAGGAAAAGCATACACAAGACAGGAAAATGAAACCATAGGGTGTGGCTAGGAACATGAATTCCTCCAGTGTACCAGAAACAGATTGGGATAGATCGTGGAAGGTGCTGAGGTGAAAAAGGGAAGTATTTTGTGACAGGAAAGGAGATTGATTCTATTTTGAATGCAACAGGAATCCTGTGTAGAATTTTTATCCTGGAAATAAATGAAAATCATCAGGAAGGTTTTCTAGAAAAATTACTCTTGGGTTAGTGCAACAGGAGTGGATGGAAGAAACACAACAGGGTGATCAGTTGCAATTATTGCCATTGTCGAGGTTAGAAATGATTAAACCTGAAAAAAGATGGCGGCAGTGAAAATGGGAGGAAGAAGTGGGTCCAGAAATATTAGAGAGTGCACTGTGAGAAGCAACCTCTCAGAACTTCAGTTTGAA